AGCTCTGAAGTCACATGAACAATGGTGCATGTGGCTTACAAGTGGCCCACCATCCCCACGACGGTTTCTCAGCTGCCCGCTCCCCTCCCCACCCCATGGTGGGCAGGGACCTGGGCGCATGCATGGGGAGGGCTGCGGTCAGGTGCGCCCACATACCAAGCCACAGGGTGGGGCCCTAGGTACTTGCGAGGATGTGCACTCACCTTGCAAGCGTCCCTGTGCCCAGGGGAGGGTGGCATTAAATTGCTAATAAAAAAACATCGTGACAGGTGGAGAGACTACAAAAGGAAGGAAATAGCTAAGAAGCCTTTTTTCTGCTTTTTGAACTAGGGGCCCCACAAATCAAGCAACTGGCCTTGCCTTCCATTTATATGACCCACTGACCCCCTCCCATAGCCTGGAGGCCCTTGGGGACACCCCTAGGCCTCTGCAGAACTCGAAGACACCACTGGGTCTGAGACAGTCACCGCCTGAGAAGTTTTGCAGAACTCAGCCCTCCCCCTCCCTCCCACCCATGGGTTTTCGTCCTTGAACCCCTGTGGTTGGTCAGTTATTTCTATTTCATGGGCCAGGCCTATTTCCGGTGCTAGAGATGTGACAATCAACCGGGACTCAGAGCAGTGACAAAACAGGCAGGACCGATGCTAGCAGAGTCAGGTGGAGAAAGCGCTCGCTCTGCAGAGAATCAGGGAGGGAGGGTGCGGAAGAAACGGCTGCTCAGGCTGCCACGTTCGGGCTGCCTCTGGAAGACAGGGATGCGGGAGCCGGCTCCGGGAGACAGCAGGAGCCCCTCATCTGTCAAGTGGGGTCACCCTGAGTGTCTCAGGGTTGTTGGAGACTGAGGGGGCTGTTGCGTCTGCATACCCAGCCCGGCACGGGCAGGCAGTGCAGAGAGAGGCTACGGCACAGGCAATGGCTGGGGCACAGGACACCAACTCGGGGACAGTCTGCAGCAAACTCCTTTTGGGGCTGCAGTGGCTCTGCTGTCGCACAAACGCCTCTCCTGAGGCAACTGTTCTTTGGGGTTTCTATTCCTGCCTGACATTTTACAGACATTGCCTTCCTTTCTGTGACAGTCCAGTTTGCACCAAGCAAGGGGTCAACCCGGTGGTGGCGGGGGCTCTTCTGATTTGACTCGTCACCCACAGAGCAGAATACACAGTGAATAAGAGCTCCGACTGCAGTCGGGCCACTCCCCTGAAGGGTCTGGGGCCCATCTGACCTGTCCCAAGCCTCGGTTTCTCCTCTGGAACTAGAAGTCAGTAAGAGTTCCATCCTCGAGAGGTTGCTGTGATGATTACATGAAATGATGTCAGTGACGGGTACGGCACACAGCAAGTGCTCAATAAATGCCAGCCATTGCTACTGCCACGAAACCCCAAAACCCTCCATTAGAAACCCGAGCATCTCGGGACGCTTCCCGGGATCCGGGAATCTACCCTCTCCTTCCCAGCATCTGCCAGGACTCTGCTCAGAGACTGCCCTCTCCCCGACTGTCATGTCACATCCGTCCATAAATATTTAAACAACATGTCATCAGATTATTATAACATATGATCTATAGCACTGATGTGCTGCAGTGCTACGCGTTTGGGCTTCATTTTCAGAATATCGAGACATAAAATATTTATGTATTTAGCCAACCACGAGATCTCACATTCTGTCTCAAAACGCTGGGTGGTGGTGGCAAGACGCTGAACTGAGATGCAATGTGTGAAGGGGATGTCTTGTTCTCGCGTCGGCTGCTGGGGCATCTGGATTGTTTCTGGTTCATGCCGGGGACATCGTCATGTGGCCTGTGCATGGTGGCTGGCCGAATTTATCACTGCAAAGCGGAGGGCTGGGACCAAAAGACCCCATCAAAATGGAGCGGGAGTTCAAATCACTAGGCACTGTGTCATTTTCATTTCTGCATGTCCAAGGGTCTGCGCATAGTAGGTGCTCAGTGAACATCCAGTGGGAAATGAATTAACTCACCTGTAGCTCAAGGCGCCACCCAAGAGGTGGATTTAGTGATATTTGCCCTCCCGTTTCATTCTACCCCCAGTGCCTACACCAGGCCGGGCATGGAGTGGGACCCAGCGAATGTTTCTGGATGAATGGCAATTGTAGCAATAAACATGTGACCTGGATGAATGGCAAATGTAGGAATAAACAGATAAATCACTTAATTAGCTAATAAATTAATGAGGGATAATCATTCTCTGTCTACTGGTCCGTAAGACCCTCCTCCTGAGAAATAAAGGCTCTCCAGTAACCCGTATTGGGTAGGCAAAGGGGTTTTTCTGGGTAATTAAATATCTCAATTGCTAACATTAGCACATCACAGTGACCATATGTCCCAGAATTTTAAGCACCGTGCAACTTCTAAGATGCTACTCCTCTAAGCCATTCGAGCATCCAGGAACGTCTCACACACCAGTGACCAAACAGCATCTTCCAAATTGCCTCTTTGGTCCCCAAATGTCACTAAAATGTTTTCACAGACCACTGCCCTTTTGAGAGTTTGGAAACTGTGGCCATCATGTGCCTAACCTACAGATAATTGATGTTGGAAGACCTAAGATGTCCTAGAAATATATGCGCACCAAAGTTATGAGCCTGGAGTAAAAGTATTTTCTTAGCGTGTTTCCGAAAGGCCGTGCTGTCACCATCAAGAGCAGGCAGCCCCGACCCCGGTCCCCAGCCTCTCCACAGACAAAAATCCAGTCCTGTTTCCTCTTGGGTTAGCTAAGGAGACTGGCATTTAAAATAAACACAAAGGCCACTAAAATTCCCAGGGGAGGTGAACAAAGGAAATGCACACCCACTGAGTCAGGCTCGGCCAAGTCCACCCTTGAGATTCTAGCGACTACATCCGTCTGGATGCAGGTGGGCCTGCCAAATGCAAGGGGCGGGCTCCCTCCCGCCAGAGCCCTGTCCGTCTGCCATGTGGTGCTCAGTGGTCCACAAGCTAGAGGACCGTTTCTTCTTTCAACCTGGGATTCCCCGTTTCCTGGGAATCTTGGGTTCTGCTCATTTGCCACATAGCAATGTCTGTGCCCGGAGGTGACTTGTGAGGCTTCAAGCCCCTTCTCCTTCCCTAAGGAAGGGTGCCTGACAGAAAATGCAGCTTTAAGACAGGGCATTTGCTCATTGCCACCCAAAGCCCCTCCTGTACAGACATTCAGGAGCAGCCTCTGCAGAAAAGGGGCAAAGGAAGGAGACCCCGTAACTCGGGGAGGTATGAGCCCTTCTGGGCTTACGTTCCTCCTACTTGGAATAATTCAAGGATGAGTTTTTCTCCGAGAAACCTTCTCTGAAAGGAGGAGGGTCAGCCAGGCACAGCTCAGCCCACTGGGAGGGGCAATGTTTGCTGACAGGTTCGGTGACTCCACAGAGACGTTCTCCAAGCACCCCGCCACTTGCCCACTTAAACATTTCCATTTGTTCAATACAATTAATTGAGCACCTACTATGAGGTAGGCATGGTGCTGGGCACTGAGGATGAAGCTGTGGTCCACAGACCAAGTCTTACCCTCGTAGAGTTTAGGTCCTGGTCAATGAAGCCAGGCCAGGGGTGGGGACCGATTCTGATAGGGTGGCGTCTCTGTGGAGAAGTGATTTTTGGGGTGTCCTGGATGAAGGCTAGGAGCAGGGCATGGGAGGATTGGGGGAGGAGTGCAGGAAGAGGGGACGGCCAGTGCGAAGGTCCTGAGCGGAGAGTATGCTTGGTGTGTTTAAGAAAAGGTGAGGAGTGAGGGGGGCACCCTTGAGAAGTGAGGCTGCAGATGTACCCGGGGCCCTACTGCTGTCGCATTAAAGACCAACTCTCGCCCAGGTCCCCGCGGGCCTCGGCCGCCTTCTCTCCCACCACAGGCCTCGGTCTTCTGTGGCCGAGCCCCTTAGTCTTCGCTCAGACGAGACAAACGCTCTGTGCTCCTGGCACGGTTCCTTGGCTCAGGCTGTTCCCTCCGGCGGCCTAGGCGGCCCTCCCCCCAGGCCCTGGGCCTGGCCACCGACTCACAGCCCACATAATGGGCACTTTCAGATGGCAGCCTCTGTCCTCTGACTCTTCAGACCAGACCCCCATGCGGGGGGCGGGGGGTCCTCACAGCACTCATGCTAATGGTATTTCAGCACCATGTATCCTGGATTCTCTGTTCCTGTTTCTTTGTCCATAAAACGGACGTACCGGTACCTACGTCATAGGATTGCTGGGAGGATGAAGTGAGTCAGTCCACGTCAAGGGTTAGAATAGGATGTAACATGTGATAAGTACTGGTACAAAGGACCTATTGAAAGGCTCAAAGGCTAAGGGATTGTCAGGAAGTTCCTGGCTTCGTACTGCTTGGGGTCGGCCCACAGCCCGGGATCCCACCGCCGCGCCTACCCCCTAACTCTGCGGTCTCGCTGCCCTTCGCCCGGCCCTCTCAGACCTCCGGGCCTCCTGGCACCCCGCCTGGCAAACCTCTCAGGTCTCTGGCACAGATGCTCCTTCCTCCTGGAGCTTCTCCCACTTCCCCAGAGAGTGAGCCCCCAAAGATTCCTCTGCGAATTGTTCACAGACACCTACAAGGGATTCGTGACACAACCTGCATCCCCCCTACCCCAGGTGGCGAGAGGCCCAGGGACTCGCCGTTAGAGGGTCTCTGTGCCAGCTCCCAGCGTACTGCCTGACCCAGAATGTTGGGACGTGGTTCTTGAATGAAGGAGTGAATGGACGGCCACATACTGGCCAGCGTGGGCGTATCTGGCTAACAAAACAGAGTCCACTCAACCCACACAGCACTGAATGCTCTGTTTCTGCATCGAACTTTTCGCCCCGAGCCCAGGCCGAGGCACCAGACCCAGAGCCTTGGCCTGAAACTTGGCCGAGTGGTCTGATTTAAGTCACCGAGAGGCCACAGACTGCTCGGAGACCCCTGGCTGGCACAGTCTCTGTGGACCTCAGTTTCCCCATGTGAAGGTGAGATGCTTTCATGCTTTGGTTTTAAACATCAGAACCTTTTCTTATAAAGTTATTTTTCCGAGTAACATATAATTAATCACTGTAAAGTGAACAATTCAGTGGCATTTAGCACATTCATAACATCATTGCTCTCTAGTTCTAAAACATTTTCATCACTCCGAAAGGAGAGCCTGTATCCACCCATTAAGCAGTTGCTCCCCATTCTCCCCTCCCCACAGCCTGATACCCACCAATCTGCTTTCTCTCTCTGCAGATTTAGAGATTCTGGATATTTCATATAAGAACTTTTCTTAAATGACTTGTGCAAAACCTCCTCATGTAAAACAGTGCTGTGGCCGAGGGCAGCAGCAGGCCCCCCCAAATTCCCTCAGCCTGGAATTCATGTCCCTCATCCACTGCGGCTTTTCAGGGAAGGCTCTGATCCCAGGCCCTTCCTTTTCAGAATTCTAATCCTAAAATTGGATCTCTAAGGCAAATCACCCAAACAGTGCCCGAGAATCAAGGGCCTTGAGCCCGGTATTACTGGCCCATTTTCCAGATGAGGAGTGGAGGCCGGGCCCATGGGAAGCCCTCGCCTGAGGTGACTGCTGGGGGGCGGAGGCGCTGGATTCTTAGATCTCCAGAGCCTGCCAATGCTCTCTCTTCACCACACACACCACAGTGGCGGGGTCTCGAATTTGTGAGCTGGGCAAATTCCCACAGAAGCCACCTCAGGAGGGGTGAGGCGGCCACTTCCAGGGGACAAGGATCTCTCTCCCCGCTCCGAGAAAACAAGCCAGCCCGAGGGAATCCCAAATGGCCTCAGTTTCCATGCCCAGCACGCATGGACTCCCTCAGGCCTTACTCCATGATGCTCCATGAGGACTCTGGGCGCGGAGAGGGCCCCTAGCTCACTTCTGACCAAGAACGGGCTGCCCTGTCCCCTCGCTTCTGTGACAGCCGCTTCTGTCAGCGCAGACCTCCGATGGGGCTGACGCTGTGTAAATAATTAACGCAACATCTGCCTTGCTTAATAACACACCGAGGCTGACACAGCTCTGGAGGCCTCCTGAGACCCTCCCCCTCCAAGAGGATGCACTGAAAACGTATAAGGCTCACTCTCCTCGCCTTGTGGGGGGTGGAGAGAAAGGAACAAATGATACCAATTTCTAAACATTTTCCGGAGAGGCTTAGGACCACCTGACATTTAAATTTTGTCTCTTTCCAAACTGCTGCTGTCTCCTCCCTGTCGGTCTTGAGGGTCATTGATCATAGAAAAGTGCTTTGGTGGCACCTGGAGGGCCTCCTGACCCCCCGTGACACCTTTCTCAGCCTCGTTTAGGGCCTCGGTATGCCGAGGCACGGAAAAGTTCTTGACAAAGAGAAACTCAGCCAAGTGACCACGGGCAAGTCCTTAGTAAGTAAATAGTTTCCACGTCTTTCATAAAAACTCAAGACGTGAACATCAGACACTTACAAGGTGCTACCCACATGCCGCACACTTGACATGTATCATTTCATTTAGTTCCTCCCTCGAACTTTATGAGGTCATCATCACACCGTCCCCGTTTTCCAGATGAGGAAACTGAGGCTCTAAGAAGTGAACGAGCTGCTCACAAGTCGAAGGCAGATCTGGGGCTCTGACCTCACTCGTTTTGGAGGCAAAGCTCGAATCCTGAAATGTGACTGTGGCGAGTGCCTTCCCCTCCCCGGGCCCCGTGTTCTTCTCTGGGTTGGGAGCAGACTGAATTCCTCGTCTAAGGCTGTAGACGAGCTGGAGGTCGTTTGTAAAGTAACTCCAGTTTCAAAGACTTTGGAGAAAACAAGGACTAGTAGGGGCAGGCTTTGGGGACTCGTTCCAACTCTGCTGCACACCTGCAGTGAGAACTGGTCTGAGGGACTCAACCCGGTGGCCTGCGCTCAGGAAGTTCTCTTTAAATGGCCCTCTGTGCACCGGGGTGCAGCGCTGCCCCCTCCCCCAGCCCAATTTTGAAGTGTGAAGCTTAAACAACGCTGGGAAAATGCAGGCACTACAAGCTCTGAATGGCAGCTTGCCACCCCCTTCCCTTGTTGGAATTCCTTCACACTCTATGGAATTCTTACATAAAGCCCCTTTTTCTTTTCTATGAGGTCACTATCACGCAGATGTCTAAAAGAAAGAAAGAATGGCTCCGTGCAGATCCAGGCCGTTCGAACTGAATGCATTTCAGATCCCGGCTGCGACACCTTTCAATTCCGCTGGCCCCCCGGACAGAGCCCAGCCACTGTGGCCAGTTGGGTTTGGAGGGGTGCGGCGATCCTGCCAGTGGATGCCAAGAAGCCTTGGCTAGAAGACTGGTCCTTTGCCACCAGACCAACCAAGAAGTTGTCTGTGGAAAAATCCAGAAGTGGAGACAGTGGCAGAGGCTGTGTGTGTGTGGGTCTGTTTCTACACAAACAAGTCCTGTTAGAGGGACGGATGTCAAATGCTAGATCATACTCCTAGTTCAAGTTCCCAGCTTGGACGTCATGGGAAATTACACCACCTCCCGATCTGCCCTAGTGTCAGCTCCTGTCTGGGAGTCGAGTCTCAGAAGGCTGTAGGTGTAATTCAGTTTTAGCCAAAGCAAAGGACTGTGTGTATGTCATCCACCTCCAACAGCCATGGGTGAAGCCACTGGCCTGTCTCTTTTTAAATTAACATTTTCCCAAAAAGCTATCTTGTCACTACCCAGGAGTCAGAAATGAGAAGATGGCCACATACCAACAAGCTACTAAGGGTCTTCGGACAAGCCTGGCCGTCTGCCACCCCACTCATTTCAAAGTAATTTCACAGACACTCAGAGGGTGCCCAGACCTCCTCAGATGACTGACTCCCCCACTGCAAGAGCACTCTCGTTCCCTAGAGCTCCACATCCTGGCGGACATCTGAGGTGATGGCCAAGGAAAGGTCCATGGCATGTGCACGCTGCTTCCTAAGAATGACGTCAGAAAAAAAAAAAGATAAAAATGTAGAAGCAAGGACTATTTTTACCTCCCCAAATCACAGGCCAGACGGGAGAGAAATCCGTCAATGCCAGAAATGTGGCTAAGCCTTCGCACAAGATCTATTATTTCACACCTTAAATTAACGCATCTCAAAGCAATTTGCAAATGTTCATCAATTTGCAGAACATACTCGGAAAAGAGAGAAATACCTTTTTCTTTCAACACCAAAGGACACTTGCAGGGCCACTGCAGACCCCAAACTGCACAGGTCCTCACATACAGCCCTCGTTTCGAGTACCGTGGAGTATAAACCTTGATACAAATGGAAATGAACAAGGAAGAGAGACAGGCTGAAATGACAAGTGGCAAGAAGCCTACAGAGACACGGTCCCATTCAGAATTGAGAGTCAGGCCCCTTGGAGGTAGCGCTCCATCATCGGGGGTCAGAAGGCTGGGCTCTTCCGGAGGGCAGTGTCCTAGCTTGCTTCCTTCCCACACAAGCCTGGAGGTGCCAACCTGTATTTAATTTCGGATGAGTCACCAGGGTCCTTCACTCTCCACCCTCTAACTCCCTTTGCTTGGTCTGACCCAAGAAGAGGAAGGGAATATTCTGCTCATTTTGACAATTGTTTTGACACTTCCCTTCTGAAACCAATCTTTGGCATTTGGAGAGGAAAGAAAAAATGTGAACTGTAGCCCTTTTGATCAGACAGCTCTGGCCCGGGGCGTTGGTCACCTGCACCAGAATGGCAGCAGTGGACAGGAAGGAGAGCAGCCTTCAGAAAGACCTCCCCCAGAAGGCTGGAGCCCAGCAAGGGGCCCCCAGCGTGTCTTCATCCACTTGTTTTCCCGCACACGAGAGGAGAACAGCAGGACAAAGGCAGACAGACCTGGTTTCAGGTTAAGAACGTCAATTCTGGAATCAGACACGTGGGTCTGGATACTGACTTTGCCATTTGCCAGTTTATGACTCTGCTACTTAAGCTCCCCAAGTCTTCATCATCCTCTCTGTAAGATCGGGATAAGAATCCTGGACCTTAGCCCTGCGTCAGACACGTTCCACAGTGACTGTCACTTTCCAAGTTCAGTGGGAAGACTATGGGCACTGCCGAGTCAAGCCTGAGTTCAAATCCAGGGTCAACCGCATATTAGCACATGATCTCCGGCATGTTATTTAATCTCTTTGTGCCCCAGGTTCCTCATCTGCAGAATGAGCATCATTCTAGTTCCCATCTCACAGCGCTGGTGAATGGATCGAGTGAAATAAGGTACTAAAAACCCCCTGGCCAGCACATGGTACACCCTCAACAAACGGTGGCCATTAGTTGTAGTGATGCCTTTGTCTCTCTGAGTCTTAGTTTCCTCGTCTGTAAAATGGAGATAATAAACACCTAGCTTGCAGTGAAAACTAAATGAGTGGATGTGTGTTAAAGCACTCAGCGCCCAGTCTGTGCACCTTTGGAAGACCAACGTCATGCCCCTGGGACAATGAAAAGAGGCCTGGCTCGGAGTCGGGCAGGTGACGGGATTCTACCTCCACCTCCCCTCAGCAGTCCCAGGACCTGGGATTGACCTCTCTGAGCCTCAGTTTCCTTGTGCATATAAAACCAAAAGCCGTTCTCCATAGCATAACTATTGGGGGGATTATAGGCACACAGTGGGTGCTCCAAAAACATGACTTCCCTTCCCCTTCCCCTGCTTCTTTCTCTCTCTGAGCCACCAGAAGTGCCCTCTGCAAAGCCAAAAGCTCCATTTCTGAAAACCTGAACAGTCCTAAACCCAGACCAACCTAGGCCGCCGCTTAAGTCTGAGACTTTAGTTTGCGGAGATAGAAAGTACTTTTTAGTCATTTCCAAAGCAGACGGGACGGCAGGGGCTGACAAACCACAGGGACCATTTTAAATCCTAGGCCTTTCTTCTGGGAAGTTAGGCAAGAACCTTCCCAAATGTTTGCCCGTGGGGCTCTCTGCCAGGGAGTGACTCATCCACAGCTCCCCACAGGCATATTATATTTGGGGGTGGGGGATCGAGGGAGGGCCTGGCCTTGACGGGGGAAGGGGAGGCAGCATTTCCAGCAAACCCAGAAGGTGGTTCTTTTTAGTTTTTTTTTTTTTTTTTCATTTTCTAGGACAAAAAAGAAAAAGAATGTGGGTCTTTTTTGTTTCCTTCCAGGTTTTGTTTGCTAAAAGAAGACGTCCAAAGTTCACTCGGTAAGCTGCTGCGTTGGGAGCAGGCACTTCCAGCCAGCCCTGCATCCCTTTCAATGAAATTCTTCTTCCATTAACGCCATGGTTTTCAAATGTGCCTCCAAGGTTCCCCTGCACATACGCCGAGCTCCTAAGACGACATTTTCCCCTCGGAAAGGCGCGCTGAATTTTGACAATTCAAGGGACCTAGGGAGCTCCAGAGTTTCTAAAGTTTGCCTTAAAGCAATTAAGACTTTTGACTGCAGAAATTTTCAACATTTATAAAGCATCAAAAAAAAAAAAAAAAAAACCCCAACAAAAAACTGTCAGTCAAAACTGCAAGGACAGACCTTGGAAGACAGTGTCCCAAGCCTGCTGTGATCTATTTGTTACTGTCTTGGGGGCTCTTGGGGACCTAGGCTCAATAAAAAATACATCAGATGAATAGCTATCTACTTACCAAGGTAGGCAGAGAGAGATGCCCAGGCACACAGACAAGGGTCCCTGAAAGCCTGGTCTCCCCAGGGTCAGTCCCCTGCCCCCTAACCCCCAGGCCTAGGAAGAAAGTTAAAATTTGCCAGGACCACAGAGGGGCAAGAACAAAGCCAGGGGACCCAAAAGGGTATTTAGGAAGAACTGAACGCAAGTCCTCTAGTGTCAGGCCCACCACAGCCCTGGCGCAGCCTGTTCTAGAGCCCCACAGAAGGTCCTAAATCAGTGACCCTGCCAAGGCTTGGCTCTGAGGCCGCCCCCTCTGCCAGGCTCAGCCAGACTCTGTGGGTCTGACCTCTGACTCCTTATTCACCAAACAAGGTGCGGTATCCACTGGGCCTGCTTCTCTCCACAGGCTTCCCTGGCATGGGGGCCAGCGGTGGGCACATCACACAGCAGGCCTGGTAAGCACAAACCAGGACCCTCAGCCTCCGGAATAAACACATCCGCACACTCCTGGACCCTAATCCCATGCTCACATCCACATATGCACACTTTCATCCTCACAGGCTCATGAATATGCACACTAATCACTTATGAACCGTCACACACGTGTACTCCCTGAATCCACACATACTCTGTCACAAAAATGAGAGCTCAGATGAAGCACTCCGCACACTCCTTGGCACATAGTAAACACTCAGTCAATGGATAAATGAGAGCCATGCCATCTCCCCCCCACCACACACCCCCCCAACTCATTCACTCCAAACCGCACAACCTGGGCGGGCACGCCGATGTGCACACGCACCAACTCCGCCACAAGCACACACACATTCTGCGAACACAGCCTGGGGGACAGATGGACACGCCAACCACGCGCTCTTGGACGCACGGCCGCGGACACACTAAGATTTGCACTTTCACACACACCCCGGCCTCACGCGTGCACACCCGCCCGCTCTCCCCCGAGGGGCCTGGGGCGCGCGCGCGGGCACGCGCACAACCCTCGGCCCGAGTGTGGGT